GTGACCTCTTAACGATGAAATATGTTATGTTAACTGCTTTTGCCCATAAACTTTTCTTCAAATCTGCATTCAATCTCATACTACGAGCTCTTTCCAAAAGAGCCTTATTCATCCTCTCAGCCACACCATTTTGCTGAGGAGTTTCTGGTGTGGTAAAGTGACGTACAATCCCCTCTTCTTTACAGAATTCTTGAAATTCTCTAGACTTGTACTCGCCTCAATTATCTGATCTCAAGCATTTCAGTTTCTTTCCTGTCTTCCTTTCTACCTCTACTTTCCATTGTTTAAACTTTGTGAATGCTTCACTTTTGTGTTTTATGGAGTAGACCCAAACCTTTTTTGAGTAATCGTCAATGAAGTATTCTGCCCCACCCTTGGATTTGATTGATGAAGGCCCCCATACATTAGTGTGTACATAGTCTAATATATCATTACTCGTATGAATTGCAGTTTTGAATCTAATCTTGCACTGTTTACCGAAAACATTTATTTACAGAAATCCAGTTTACAGGCTCTGACACCCTTCAATAATTTTCTTTTATAAAGTTTCATCCTACCTCGTTCACTCATATGCCCTAAACGCATATGCCATAAATTTGTATCATCTATGTTAGACTCAACAACTGTGGACAGTAGCTCCAACTGTAACTATATTCCCTATCAACCTGTATAGGTTCCCAATCATCTGACCTTTCATGACAACCATAGATCCCTTACTAACTTTAAGGACTCCACTTGTTGTTGTATACTTGCAACCATTCAAATCAAGAGCCCCCAAAAATACTAAGTTTTTCTTTAATTGTGGGACATACCTCATATCTGATAAGATTCGTACTATTCCATCAAACATCTTGATTTTGATAGTTTTATTCTAATGGTCTTGCATATCGCATCGTTCCCCATTAAAACAGACCCACCACTATATGATTTGTAGGTTTCGAACTAGTTTCTATTTTGACACATATGAAAAGAACAACCAAAATCTAAAATCCAAGAATTAGTAAATTGATTATTACCTGAAGATATAGAGAGAAGATCTCCATCATCTCCGTCAGAGCTATCGGTCATGCTAGCTTCATCAGATGTTCTTTCTATATCTATCATCTTTATATTCTCCTTTCTTTTCAAACAGTCTCTCTTCATATGACCTTTTTTGTAATAATAGCAAATAAACTTACCCTTCCTCTTTGATTTTGACTGACTTCTGCTTTCAGACCTCTTTTGATTTAATCTGCCCCTTTTATGATTCTCTTTGTGTTTTTCAAAGAAACATTCTCCTTGAGATTTAATATTGTTAGCCTTCTTCCTTGTCTCGTTTGACATAAGAGTAGCAATGACTTCATCCTTCTCAAGGGTCTCGTTCCCGTATAATAGAGTCATAACCAGGTGATCGTATGATCCTGGAAGTGAAGCCAATAGAAGTAGGGCATTGTCTTCATCCACGATTTCGACCTCAAGGCTTGTTAACTGGCTTATGATCTGGTTGAACTCGTTGAGATATTCAAGCAGATATGTGCCTTCTTCCATCTGAAGAGAATACAACTGCTTCTTCAAGAACAACTTGTTTGTCAGAGATTTCGTCATGCAGATACTCTTGAGTTTTGTCCAAACCTTCGGAGCAGTTTCGAGATCCACCATATAATGCAAGGCGTCATCTGAGAGATTCAGATGAATCACACTTACCGCCTTTTCCTCCATCTCTTATCACTCTTCATTGTCTATCTTTGCTGGTTTCTTCTATGTCCCTAGCAACGCCTTAGCCAGACCTTGTTGTATCAAAAGATCTTTTATCCTTCATCGCCAAAGGGTGAAATTATTCTTTCCATTGAACCTCTCAATGTCATATTTGACGCTTGAGCCCTTTCCTATCATCGTGGTAGCAAACCCCAGAACGCGGAATAACCTTGTAGGCTATGATACCAATTTGTAGAAATGAAAAGTAATCCACGAAAAACAAGAAAGAAGAAACAAACACAAAAGAAATAGACAATCAACCGTAAAGATATATGTGGTTCGACAACGTGCCTACGTCCACGGGAGATTAGAGCATCTTTACTGGCAATAGACAAGAGATATATAATTCACTCTCTTCCTCACGCCTATCTGTTTTTATCTAATTACAAAGAGATCTGTATTTTTCCCTTAACCCTTAACTTTTAGATGAACCTCCAATCGCAACAATATATATTGAGTCCCAGATATATGGTACAAATTACCAAAATACCCTTGTATGGATATATATCAAGTCCCAAATATATCGAATCCCATGTACAGATGTATTCGAACCTTGGTAGATATATTTCCTCAGAATACAAGACATCAATCCTCAACAAAGGTAGCTTTTATATTTTTGTCATAACTGTTAATTTTTTGTCAATATAACTTTTATTTTTTTTGTCAAGATAACTTTTAATTTTTTTTTACAAAAATTGATTTTTTTTGTCGAGGTAATTTTTATTGTTTTGTCATAACTTTTATTTTTTTGTCAAGGCATCTTTTATTTTATTTTTTTGACAAAAAACTAAAAAAATTGTGGTTGCCCGATTCAAACTAAGAAGCTCTTGAGAAGAAAATGGACGTGATAACCAACTACACCATGCACTAATAACTATCTTCAAGCCTAAGTACCTTACTAAAATCCCACATCGAAAAACCTAAAGAAGTTTGACGTCAATAAAAGAATCCTCGGTATAATGTTCATTTGTGTATGTGAAAAAGACTGACAGTCTGCCACATGTGGCAACGCTTGTACAATGACTCGTTTTTTAAAGAAATTGCCCAACTCACCTGATTCCCAGGTTCTCCCGTGTCGACTCTCTCGAGTTCGTGCTACATTTTGAAATTATGGGTCGAGTCCAACTTCATATAACCTCATGAAGGAAAGGTCTTTAGCACGGATTTCCCATCAATGGAATTCCTAGAATATTTGTATACAGTAGTATAAATTCATGGTAGTATAAATTCAGAGAATTATGAATTATGGGTTGAGTCCAACATTCATATAACCTCATGAAGGAAAGGTCTTTAGCATGGATTTCCCATCAATGGAAATCCTATAATATTTGTATACAGTAGTATAAATTCGGGGAGATTGTTTTGTTTGGGCCTTTATTATTTTTTAAACTAATATATTGTTACTTGTTTTTTGAGAAAAGGCGAGCTTCATTAAGACAATGAATTACAAAGAAGAAAAGAGAACAAAAGAAACAACAAAAAAAGGAAAAGAGAAGTGGAGGGAAAGAGGAGAAAGAAAGGGAGCAGGGAGAGAAAGAAAAAAGGGCCCGGACTCAATCAAGAGGTAACTTTGTTAGCCAAGTAGTCTGCGGCTGAATTAAATCCCCAGACCATGAGTGAAGAGGACCTCAAATTCAAAAGGTAGCAACATAATTTCGTCCATGACACCACTCAAATGCCAAAGAGTGGAATCCGAACAGGAACTCCAGGAAATTACATTCGCCGAATCACCGTCAATGATGACTCTATGACAAAAAGGATCTAAAAGGGTCACACCCTTACGCACCGCCCAAAGCTCAACTTCATTAAGCTCACATTGATGCAATGTTCCTGAGTAGATCCAGAGAACTGAGACGAGATGATCTCGAAGGAGACTCCCATATCCAGCAATGGTGCCCTTAATGGTACCATTAAAGTTCAATTTAACCCAACCCTTCCGAGGCGCAGCCCAAACAAACTGTTTGCTGGGGCAGGTTGGTATGAAGAGCAGTAGCTGAGAAAAATTGGAGAAGACCATGTCCCTTGGCACTGCTTTAATGAGAAGAAAAGTATAGACCTAGAGAGTGATGGACCGCTTAATAGCTTCCAAAAGAGAGGGCAAGTCTCTACTACACCCTTCTAAGGTTCTCATGTTCTGCCCTCTACAAAGGTTCTAAGTGATAGCAACAACCGAGATCCTCCATAGCTGGATACCCAGGGAAGGGAAGAGAAGGGGGCGGGGGGACCATACTTGTTTAAGCCATGCATGTATCTCAACATGTCTGGGACCGATCCAGTTTGCCGAGCTCAGTAGCAAACCCCATAAGGTTGTAACAAAAGGGCAGTGAATGAAGAGATAGTCAATAGACTCTCCATCATTCTTGCAGAGCAAACAGACATTAGTAAGGATGAACCCCATTCTCCTTAGCCGATCAATGGTGAGTAGCCTTTAATAGCCAAGCAACCAAATGAGGGTCTTAACCCGATGGGGAACTTTGCAGTTCTAGAGCTTGGCCAGGGAAGGCATCCAATAGTACAAGGAGGCCGAGAACTGTCCATTAGGTTCCAAGGACCAGACTATCCTATCTGGTTTCCTGGGACAGTAACATAAAGCGTACAGAGATGCCCGCAGCGGCGGAAACTGTTCATTAAAGGAAGCGTCAACCCTCCGGGTGCTCATCTTGATATCCCAAAACCAATTGATCACCCGAAACATAAACCAAGGTCGCAAGCACCTCCTGTTTCTATGTTGATCTGCTATAAAGATCATGATAAACCATTTTGAGAGGGTAACCACCCAATCATTTAGCATGCCAAAATCTGATTAGTGCTCCTTCGCCAACCAGAATTCTAAAATATGCAAGAAAGAGCGGTCTTATCTAATGAATCCCTTTTCACACTAGAGAGAGTCTGAATTGTCTGGTATATTTTTTGCCAATAAATCTATCAAGATCCCTCCCATATTTTCCGAGTATGACCTTTGCCCAAATTTGATCCTTGTTGTTAGCAAGTCTCCACCACCATTTATTAAGCATGGACTCATTAATTGCCTTGATTCTCCTTATACCTAGACCTTCCTTTGTAAGGAAATAGACCGAGGCCCAGCTTACCAAATGTAACTTCTTACTTGATTGGGATCCACTCCACAAAAAATTCCTCATTTGCAACTCAATCTTGTGAATTAATGTGGCAGGGGGCATAAAGAGGGACAAGTAATAAATAAGCAAATTGGATAAGGTGGCTTTACTGAGGACCGATCTGCCAGCAAAGGAAAGGAATCGAGTTTTTCATCCATCTAATTTAACCACAACTCTTTGAATGAGTGGATCCCACATGGACCTAGGGGCCGACCCATTAAGGAGTGGCAGGCCAAAATACTTGGTGGGGAATGTTTCAATCTCACATTCCAACCACGAAGCCCAATATGACATTTCAGAGGAAAGACAGTTAATGCCAATGATTTTAGACTTTTTCCTATTAATCCGAGCTCCCGAGATAAGCTCATACAATTTTAGAAAAAGCCAAACATTCTGAATATTCTCGTTAATAGCTTTCATAAAGAGGAGGGCATCATCTGCATACTGCAAATGGCTTAGAACAATCCCATTTGGCCAGGCCGGTAAGCCCTGGATGAACCCACCATCCACTGCACCCTGGAGCATTTTACTGAAGGCTTTGGCCACTAAGGTCAACAAGAAGGGTGACAAGAGATCTCCTTGAAGAATACCTCTAGAGGCCCGAAAGAATTCATTAGCATTTCCATTCACAAGCACCACGAAATGGGCTGAAGACAAGCATCCCTGGATCCATTTCCTATAGGTACCACCAATGCCCATGAGTTCCATGATTTTAAGGAGGAAATCTCATTCCGCCTTATCGTAAGCCTTTTCGAAATCCAATTTCAACATAATATCCTTAGAACCTGAGGTTTATGTGGAAGGGATAGTCTCATGTGCCATGAATATACCATCTATGATATATCTATCTTTAATGAAAGCCGTCTGAGGGCATTTAACGATTTCATTAAGAACCTGATGAAGCCGGCTGGCCAATAAATACTATACAGTTGCTTGCACATATAAGTACTTTGATGCTTTCTCTTCATGATTTCTTGGAGTTGCATTATCTTCCAAATACTTCAAAATGCTCCTAACTACTAATCAAAGCATTAACTTTCTTGACAACCTTCTGCAGTATTATCTTCCTGATCCCAATATAAGTTATACCATATTTCTTTGAAGTTGAAGTGATCTTTGGGTTTTTCATTTCCATTCACTAATCTTTCATCTATTTTGTCCGGATCCCCTTTTTCTTCCAACCAAAAAAAGGCAAGGGTAAATACTATAGCGAAGTAGTACTGTAAAAAAAAGGTAAAAAGAACCCCCATTGGGGAGTGAAATAGAACATGAAACCATGAGCTCCAAAACAGAGGAAGGAGCATCTGATCTATAACTTAATACATGTTAAAGAATGAGCCGACAACTCATAGCAATAGCGAAAGCGAGTCTTCATAAGGCAATTGTCACCTGCACCTGGGCAATCTATCTATGACCAAGATGAAGCTTGGTGAAACTTAGTGAATGTTCGAACCGACTGATGTTGAAGATTCAACAAATGGGTTGTGGTTAGAGGTCAAATGCCACCCAAACCCAAAGCTAGCTAGTTCTCCTTGAATTGCGATGAGGTGCAGTAGTTGATTGGATATCTAGGGGTAAAGTAGTGTTTCAGTGCAGGCAAAGGGAGCTGTACCAAATTGAGGTAAACTCTGAATACTAGATATATCGGGTGATTCAAAAACAGGCATACCCAAAAGCGAAAACCCAAATCACTCCAGAGCTTGCACAAGATTTCTCCCTCTAGTCAGCAGAAATTGCATCATTATCATCTTATCTTAGCCTTATCCTAACTATTAAAAATTGACTACATGAGTCCTCCACTTTCATATTCATAAAAAAAAAATGTGGCAAAATTTTACGCCCAGCTGCGTACCTAACATAAACTCTCTTCATTTATCCGGCCATGACGGAGTTTGTCAGCAGAAATTACATATAAAATGCAATCTGATTGTCAAAAGAAATGCACATACCATTCCAAAAATTAGGTCAGTTTTAACTCTATGAAAAGAGCGTGTTCTTTCCATTCCTAAGATTATCTTCGAATAAGTCGAGTTGTTAATTTGTTTATTTTCAAAATATGTATCGTGTACTGAATGAAAACGAAATAAAAAGATGAGTATTGAGTAAGAGAGAGAGGTGAAATTGATTAAGAGAAAACCCTGATCAACCAAATAGCCTGTAACCAAAATAAATTAAGAGAGAGAGAGAGCTCAAACGAATTATGATAAGCAAAACCCAATGTGACTCGTACACTGAGTCTAATTCTTTGAGCTTCTCACCGAGGTTTCGCACCAAAATCAAAATTGGCCTCGAAAATTGCAGAGCTTTCTCTTCATATTCTCAACTCAAGACAGCAATCAGTTCTTAGGTTTACAGTTGCAGATATATACCACAAAAGCAGGAGCCGATATGGAAACAGGTTTGGAGGCACCAAAATGCGATTGCAATCTATCCTCTCTCACCTCTCTCATCCTCTTTCTCTCTCTAAAACTACCCAACTCCACGCCTCAATTCTCACGTCAGGCCTCTCTCACGATCCCTTCTTTGCCACTAACCTCATCCGCCTCTACTCCATTGCTGGAAAACTCGAATCTGCCCGACTGATATTCGACCAAACCTTCGAAAGAACTGTTTATTTGTGGAACGCTATCATCCGAGCTTATGCTAAAAATCAACAAGTTAACCATGCTTTCTCTCTCTACATCCAGATGCAAGCTTCTGAAACCAAGCCTGATGGTCATACTTTTGCGTGTATTCTGCGATTGTGCTCGGAGAATTCAGATTGTTGTCGCCTGAAAATCACTCATAAACATTTAATTTCGGCTGGATTCCAGCAAGAAATGATCCCAAGCAGTGCATTAATCAGTGGTTATGCGAAAATGGGCCTGATTCAGAGCTCCCGGAAAGTGTTCGATCAGATTCCTGAGTAGAGATTTAGTCATGTGGAATGCCATGATTAACGGATATTTTCAGTGTGGATTATATGAGACAGGCATCACATTATTCATTACTATGGTTAATTGGGGGATTAGGCCAGATGGGTTTTCTCTGGTCGCAGTTAGTTCATGCTTCATTGATGAGAGTTCCCTGAAACAAGGTCAGGGAATCCATGGTTTTGCACTGAAAACTGTGCTCAATGAAGAGAAACAGAACCAACATGTGATTAGTGGACTTGTGGCCATGTACACTAGGTGCAATTGCCTAGATTATGGTATTAAGATGTTTAACCAAGTCCTACACCCAGATTTAATCACTTGGTCTGCCTTACTATGTGGGCTTTTTCAAGTTGGAGATTGTGAAAATGGGGTGAAATTATTTAGGAATTTGATTTTTTCTGGAATAACTCCTGATCCAATCCTTATATCTGCTATTCTTTCATCTTGTGCAAAATGTGCAATGCTTAGGTGGGGTAAAGAGACCCATGGTTATATTTTCCGGTGCAATTTCAAGGATTCTGGCGAGATTTCTAGTGCACTCATCAACATGTACTCAAGATGTGGTTCCATAAAGTCGGCCCACCAGATATTTGAGACTGTGTCTGGGGGAAACTTGGTAGTTTACAACTCGATGATAGCCGGGCTCGCGGCTCATGGGCTAGGACTCGAGGCTATACAATTGTTTGATGAGTTGGTGGGTCGTGGACTCCGGCCTGATGGAGCCACCTTTGCAGGCCTCTTAAGTGCATGTCGACACTCTGGGCTCGTGGATGAGGGTCAAGAAATATTTGAGAAAATGAGAGGCATTTTTGGAATTTTGCCGGGGGTTGAGCATTATGTTTATATGGTTGAGCTTCTGGGGCTTGCCGGAAAATTGGAGGAAGCCTATTTTTTGGTGGAGGAGAGGCCGGCATCTGGTGTTTGGGGGGCTTTTTTGTCATTGTGTCGAGACCACAGTGATGTAGCACTCGCAAGGGTGGCAGCGGAGAGGTTGCTTGAGCTCGAGCCGAGGAAGGTGGCTTATAGGGTGATTATGTCTAATATTTATGCAAGTGAGGGGAGGTGGGAGGAAGTGAGGAAAGTAAGAGAGGAGATGGCAGAGAGAGAAATGAGGAAGACGCCTGGGTGCAGCTGGATTTTGCAGTGAGAGTCTTTGTGCCTGGATCGGGTACCTGTTTTGGACCCTGTGGGTTGGGTTCGGGTCTAAATGCTTGAACCCAATCCGGGTCGTTCTGGGTCAGGCATGGACCTTATCGAGTCGAGTCAGGTTTGGGTTCAGGTGGACCTGACTTAGTATAAAATATATTAAAAAATATATAAAACATATATTATATAGTACATAAATTGATTTTTTTATTTTTTATTTATTTCTAGATCCAAGTCGAGGTCTAAATGACTTTCTCATCCTGAGTCAAGGTTCAAGTCACTTGGACCCTTCCCAGGTCTGGAATGGGCTCAGTCCATGTAAAACCTAATCTGGTTGGATCCTGTCCGGGTCGACCTGGACCCAACGCCTGCCACCCCTAAGTGAGAGAAGGGGCAATACTAGTGATACATTACTATTTTCCTTTCGGTCACTTATTAATGAACAGGGAATTACTTTTGTGATGACTTTACACTTATCCCTTGAAATCACACCATGTTAACTAATCCTAATCTCATGGTAAAGTAAAACTCCTTTGTTTACGTAAGAGTAGAAAACCTTTGTTTCCGTTTGTATAAATAGTATGTTATAGTCATCAGTCCAGTTTTGAGTTACCAAAAAAAAAAAAAAAAAGTTATTTTCCCATAAACGAGGCCGCCTCCTACTTTTATGTTATGCGAAGAGGCACTATGCTAACAACTAAGAATCCGCTTTCTCAATGGTGGCTATGTAATCGAGTTGCAACCTGGTTTACCACAAGAAATCGTCAAAGGATTTTTAGATAGCTTAAGTAACGGGCGGAAGGGGATACGTTGAACGTGATCAAATGGTGTAATAAGGAATAACGAATCTCTTGAGAGCTTCGTTTTTGTGTAATGCCAAGTCATGGATATGGTTGATGCTTTGACTATATCTTTCCACCATATTTATATAGAGGTTAATTCTATATCAGATGGTTTAGCTAGGAAAGGAGTTACTCTTCCATCGATTTTAATTTCGGATGATTTAAATCTCTTGTAATCCTTTTCTAGCAATAAAATTTGATAACATTTGTCAAAAAAAAAAAGAGAGTAAAGGATGCGGTTTACATAACACATCCGTTTTAGACTATAAAAGTAAGGAGTATCTTAACACTCAAAAATGATCTTCCGGCCGGTCTCCTAATTGTTCCAAAGACATAGTTTGAGTGTCAAAAACCCTTACAACGGCATGAAAATCTATTTTGTCTCTAAATAAGAAATTTTAAGCTTTAAAAAAAATATTGATTGTGTTGATCTATATCATTATCATCATTATTCGAGTCTTATCTCGAATTTTAGGGTCGGTTACGTAAATATTGTTTCGTCATTTGGCTCTATCAAGGGTCATACCTTTAGTTAGATAGTGTTGATCATATATACACTTGAAAAGCTTGAAAATAGATAGCCTAAATAATATATCAGAAAATGTACCACCCAAAAAGTTTTTTCAATCATTTTTGCAGATCAATTAAATGTAGCGACTTATAACTCTTTTTCTTTTTCTATATTCAAATTCGCGATGATCAATTTCGATTACTTCCTGGCATCAAAACAGATTTCTTTCATGGATTTTATAGCATAAGATTGATTCGTGATGTAAACTTTCTCTTCTCGAAAAATACATATTATTACAATTGGCAAATCCATTTTGATTATATATTGCTTTATTGCTATATTTCTTTACAGCATCTACCATCCATTCTCAACAATAGACGGTGGAAAGCCTCAAGACCACTCTTAATTATTATTTTTTAAATAAGTGTATTATTATTATTATTATTATCATCATCATTATCATTATCATTATCATTATCATTATTAGTAACAAATATTCCATAGCTTTATTGATTAAGTTACAATGCATTCAAAAAAAGTAATACATAAAAAATCAACAAATCTTGCATCAAAACTCCTCTCTTTGCAAGAGAGTCAGCCACTTCATTGCCATCTCTGTACACATTTTAGAAAAAAATACTCACGTCTCGAATAAGGTCCATAATTCTCGAACAAATACTCATGTCTCGAATGAGGTCCATAATTTTCATCCATTCCAATCTCAGCTTCCATGGTGATCAAGAGACACAATTACACCAATTTATGACATTCAAGGGGTCACATTCAATAATGCAGCAGCTCTGGATTCCTCGATCTCTGATAATGGTCAAACCTTGTAGCATAGCAAGTAACTCCGCCTCATTTGTTGTTTTAGAACCACAAGGCCTAACAAAACAAAATATTCAATCACCAAGATGATTCCTCAAAATGCCTCCAACACCTATTGGCCCTGGATTTCCTATGAAACTACCATCACAATTCAGCTTTAAACAACCTATTGTCGGTGCTACCTACTGTTATACGTCATTTTTTACGTACTTGTATCCCCGGGGCAAATAAGGAGAGAACGGAGACCTCCACTCCCCCTATGGCTCAAACTTCAAGACCTCCAACTCCGTCAGTCCTTTCCAAGCTATTCCTCTAATGGTTACCTAGGAAGACATTCAAAATATGATCAAACGAAGCATTTAAGGCATACAAGCTTCAAAGCCCTATGAAAATGCTCATTATAAGAAGCCTTACCCGCCCTTCACTAATCAAGTCCCCTTTACCACGAGTTATCAAATAAGAAGATTACCTATCTTTGATGGTATCGGCTCACCCCAACAACATGCGGCACACTTTGTGTCAGTATGTCAAGAGTCAACTTATGATCCTAGACTACTTCTTTAACAGTTTGTGGAAACTCTAGCCGGACCTGCCTTCAAATGGTATACGCGTTTACTATCGAACTCTATTCACTCCTAGGAAGAGATGGAACACCCGTTCTATAAACACTTTATGAAGTTGAACGAGAAGTTCAAACTATAGAACTTCTCACTATGACTCAAGAAGTAAATGAACCGGTAAACAAATACATCTAGAGATGGATGGATCTTGCAGTATACTAAAGTAACCACAAGCTTGAGATTGATGTTGTACAGACATGCATTAAAAATATGAAGAAGGAAATCTCCCTCCTTGTCAAAGCTTCTAATCCCACCATCTTCTCAGACGATTTAAGGCAGTGAAAATTGAGAGTCTACTTAAGCACCATGGTGGGACTCAAACTCAGATCTCAAGGGGAGATCAAGGTCGGAATTTCACTAATGACAAGTTTAACCCTAGTGCTGGCCAACAGAGAGACACGGTCAGTGCAACGAATACTGCCACACTATTCTTCCTAAACCTCGTACTAATGTTGCACCTCTCGACATTAGATACTTCATAAGGAATAGTACCATTCAAGGGTCAACCTCAGGCCTATAACAGGGTGCCTCCACGACAAAACATGTACCAGCCTAATCAATTTGAGCAAAGATTGAACAAACGGTATAGTTTTAATAAAGCCTAAGTACCAGTTATATTGAAAATATTGTTAGAACAAGGTATGATAGTTCTTGCTGAGCCTAAAATACCAGACCAAGTGGGGCTTACCAATCACAAGAATTCTTGTGCCTATTATCGAACACTGAGTTATCCTGAGATAATTTCCTAGGGTTCTAAATCTTAGAGTGCTACTTTAACCATCAGCTCGTATAATAAAGTTGGGTCATAAGAGACACTTATTCTCTTACACTCAGTCACTCAGATTGGGGTCATCCTGAGTCAGATTTCTCTTGAGTTTTAACCATTTCACTACTCTAACCACCGATTCATACAATGTTTGGGTTGTAAGAGACTTTTATCTCTTTCACTTTCTTCTCCCCCTAGATCACATTTAGGAAACTCTTTAGTTTAATGAAATAGTTATTGGCTCAGTCTTGTAACTCTACTTTCCAAACCCTCAGGGTACCAAGGCTTCAATCCTGGTGCTTTTCTTTGTCTCCGAAAATACCTCTTAGGAGTGGTTCCACCGGGTGGCAACCCAATTTTCTTTGGGTCATCTCTTCTTTTCTTTTTACTTTGTATTTTTCGTCTTATTCTTCTTCTCACTCCTAAACTAAGTTCTTATCGAGTTTTTATTATTATTTTCTTATTTTCCTTCTCTCTTGCTTATGTCTCTTATTGCACTCTACTTCCAAAACTAGAACCCTTAACCTATAAAAGTACATTGGAGAAGATTTTATTAGCAATTTTCAAGTGAGAATTGTGGCGAAGTTTTGAGTTTAAAGATGAGGGAGAATTCAAACTGCACTACTAGACAGTCGGAGGGTTTTCGTTCATTGATCTAAGAGAGCAATAGCCCAAGCTTATCCTACGAACTCAAACCGCGGTGAAGTAGGTGCTCGAGTCCATCTTTTCGTCACTTTTAAAATCTTCTCATAGTTGGACATACCTAACCATACGTGACACAAGCTGCACACGCGCTCGTGAAAGTCAGGCGATTGTTCGAGAGGGGGTTGATCGAACCTAAGTCCCCGAGGGAGCCAGGGCGAGGTAGATCCAGGCCCGACCACCCATCTCCCTTTATGTCTCACCTTTACCAACATTTGCAGCATTAGATTTCTTACATTAACGTCCATGTCCATCTTATATCCCAAAGTCTTCCTTAGTTATTGAAAACCAATTTTGACGGTCATTAGGTAAATCAAGTGTTTTCAAGGGCTGCTAGAAATGGGTAGGGATTTCATGCAACGGTTGTATCATAGTATAATACAACGACACTTCTAG